AATTTTAACTGTAGTACCGGTTACTGCTTGATCAATTTTAACTGTAGTACCGGTTGCTGCTTGATCGATTGAACTGTAGTACCGGTTACTGCTTGATCAATTGAATCTAGCATCTCAAAGCTGCACAGTCCATTTTATATTTTATTATGATAGAAATTATGTTTCGATATACGACAACTTTTTTTTGCTAAACATGAAGAAATGTAGGAAAGAAATTGGTACCGGAAATTCACTGATAAATAAACAGACGAAACTGATATCAGTTAAATCATTAAGATTTAATTGGCAAATTATATTTTTCCAGAACCAAAAAATGCATCATTCGAGATCGCTAACTATACTGTTAAGAAAGCAATAACTGCAGAGCCGCATGATGAATTTTGTCCCAAATGTCAGGTATTGATTTAAGAGAATATTTTATCGCTAATATACTTAAACTAAGATTAATAGAATTTCGAACTAAGGAAATTGGAAGTAAGAATAAAATGATAACTTCCACTGATAATGAAATAATCTTCTGAAGATAATGAATAAGCTTATACATACATATATTCAGTTACTATCTTTAGTTGATAAATTAACAATTGAGAACTAAAATTGAGAATTTTCTATTAATCGACGATATTGACATAAATTAGCTTCAAATTTCAGAAAATTTATTTTGAATTTTGACAAAATTAAGATCATTAGTGTTAAGATTTTTAATTTATTTTGATATCAATGATAAGTATCAATTTAATTAATCACTAATGTTGGTGTTTATTCATTTAAAACTATGAATTCTTTCAATTACAGTGTCGGATACGTACTAAACAAAGCCATAAATCGGGTCGTCTTACATGGTTACTTGTATTCATTATTCTTATTTTATTTTTTCCAATAGCATTTGTACCATTTCTAATTGATTCCTGTAAAGATGTCAGGCATTATTGTCCTAAATGTAATATGTTATTATCTGTCAAAAAACGTTTCTTTTTTGATAATTTTGCATTTCTAATCCATAAATAATTTCGTTTTTATTTATTTTATTTTTTCAAATTTCATTTTGAGGATATTTTAAATAAATGTACGAATTTTTCATTACCTTATTTCATGAAAACTAATTATTAATGAATTTTTATGGAGTAAGGTAATTAAAATTTTATCCAAGATTTTGGTCATTTTTTATCTCGCGCAACCCAAATTATTATTTGTTATTTACCTGAAATTTCAAGATATTTGAAAATTAACATTTTCATGTAAATACTTGCCTTTATTTTCATTTCGCAAAAATTTGTCGCAACAAATTAGCAATGTATATACTTAATGCATATCTGTGTATATTTATATATACATGTTCACTTTTTTTCTTATCACTTACATTGTTTTCTATTTATCACACATCTTATCAATCAATTAGCCCGTATAGATAATGATAAATTTTCTCGCTATGATAGTTGTGAAACATTTAGGATAGCTTATTTAGGTAAGAGATAAGGTTTGTAACTTTCAGATCCCATATAATTCTCCAATTAATATAATGTAGTGTTCATTATGTTAAATGCTATTAAAATGGATTTATTAATTGTTGGAATAAAATTAATTATGAAGCATTGTTACAAATGGAATGTAATAATAAGCACTTATCATAACAGATAATAAACATTAAATACATCATTGTAATTATTCAATCATTAGTATGACAAGAAAAAAAAAGAAAAAAAGAAAGAAGTTCGAAAATTGGTTTTTTGATCAAAACGATTAATATTTAAGCTTTCAAAATTAATTTTAATAACAACTTGAAACAATTATTTGAGATTTCCAAAAAACTGTTCATTCCTTCATGGGACATAACAAATATTTAGTTTTGGAGTTGAAATTCAAATTTAAAAAAGTGGTAAACAGTTGTTAATATACGGAATTACTTGCATATCTGGTTTGTTGTCATCTTTCGCCTCTCATCACATTAATTTAATTTTTTCGAATTTTTAATTAAAAAGAAAATGAACGAAATTAGAGAAAAATTCAGGGTGACTTATTGAACATTGGATAAAAGGCATAAAAACCGAATCGCAGACAGTAATTGCACTGAGCAAACTGTTTAGAAAAAAAAAAAAAGAAATTGTATGAGAATTGTTACAGGTACCAATGATATTTACATTGTAGCTAATAAAAACAGGATTTGAATAATTTCTGCACATGTTCACAATTTTCTTCCGGGAAATAAATTTTGGCAATCGGACAATTTGCACGAATCCATTCAACCGGATCGCCAATAGCGAATACTTTGATAAATTTCCTGATCAACAAACATTGTGTCGAAGGTACCAAACCTTCATCACCCTACAATGATAGAAAAATGAATAAATGAAATAATTTCTTTTTTCACTAGTCAAAATTCCAATAAAGAATATTTCGGAATAATATCTGATAATAAGTAATTTTTACAAGTGTATAAGTAACAGTAATATCAGATAAACAGATAATAAGTAATTCTACAAGTAATTCAAATATGATCTCACGACTGATCGATAATCTATGATCAAAAAATCAAAATACTTTGATCCATTGTTTCATTCCTTGGAAACAATCAAGGGTTCGTTTCTCGAAGATTGATCAAAATAGTGAATTGTTGTTGATCGAGAATACCCGATAATGCAAAAGATTGCATCAAATTTCATTATAAGTGTTACTTGCTTTCGTTATTAACTAGTCGAATACCGAATCACTGAGATTCTAATATTTCCTGAGTAACCTTCCCTTATTCAACAACTTGTTTCCTTATCATCTCCGATGACTAGCTGAAGTGATCTGTTGGCACCTCTATTTTAGGGATTATTCTAGTGTTTGACTTAAAACTTGAATATTGATATTGTTCCAATTTCAGATAATCGCCTAATTAATTACAATTGTGATGATATGATTATTAGATTCCGAAAGTGTTGTTACATCGTTTAGAGTGGCTAAAGAAGTGTCAACGGAAGATGTGATCATATGATGTTTCATCATGGCATTCCTTATCCGTTCTTCTCGTTCAAGTTGTTCACGATGTTGTCTTTCATTCTCGGTAAGTTGTTCCAGTTGTTGAGCTATTTGTGCCTGTCGTTCCAGTTGAGCATTATTAACAAGACCATTATTAAGTTCTTGTTGCTTCTTTAGTTCCATTTGCTCTTCACGTAAACGACGTGCCTGAATATATTTAATTAGCTTTTTTATTAAATTTCTCAAATTCTTTCCAAAAAAAAAACAACAATAAAAATTTCAAATAAAAGAAAAAAGTGATAAAACTTTTTCTTTTGATAAAACTGATAAACATAATAAAATTACACTCACTTCTTCTAAACGTGCTTTCTCTTCCTGTAATCTAGTAGTATATAGTATCGGTCCATTAATTCCTTCCTTTTTTTCTCCAATTTTTTTTCTTAATTTCATCTCTCCTTTTCCCACTTCTTCTTCATCATTATATTTTCCATTTTCTCTTTCCATAAATATTTCATGTTTTTGTTCTTCCAATACTTTCGTTTGTGTTTCCAAAGGATTATTTGTTGTTTTACTATAATTTTAACCATCAAAACAATCTTCTTCATCTTTTTAAGAATTATTCTTTAAAATTCCTTTTTTTCTCTTCCTTTCTTCTCTTTTCTTTTATATGAGTGCTATAATGCTATTAAACAAATGATTTCAGACGAATGGCGTTAAATTCATCCTTAAATTATTCGGCTCTTTCCGTTCTGTCTATGTTATCCATCCACTTTCAGAATCTATCTTTTGCCACGAAACTATCCAATTGATGTAACAATATTTGCAAAGGAATTTAAAGTTTGTTCCTCAGAATTTTTAAAAGTCGAAATTTTAAAAAAAAAATTAACTAAGGAGTGGACATTAAAATGATAGTATAATCATATCAATGTAGAAATGTATTCCATTATGTAACAATAAATTGCAATCATTAGATTGATTCCATTTGTCGTACCGAATTTTATTAGCGAAAAAAGTGTGGTTATTGATTTTGCTTATCTGATAAGTTATCAATTTCAGTTCACTGAACAGATTAAGATAATTAATAATAGCATAATAGTTGCATTAAAAAGCATCACTGCTCTTGAAACAACCATTGCATGTTATATTTGCATTGATGAAATTGTAAGTAATGGTTGTAAAATGCTGAAAATCTGCTATTAGGCTACCGTAATTGTAATTTCAAGCTACTATAATAATTGCAAAATAAGATTCCAATGCATCTCATACATCCGAAAAATGAATTTATGATCATCGAGAAAAAGATTACTTAAAAAATTATTTGCATTTGTGATTTATTGCAGAAAAATAAAATAACTAATAAGGTGGAAAGTTTCAATAATTTATGTAAACATTTCGTTCTCTTATAATTTTGTTTTTTTTTAACTTTTCGAATTAATTCAAATTTTAAAACTTTTAAATCTTTTTTTTCATATTTTACTGCACTTTTCTTTTTTAATAATTAGTGAATGATACAAAACTTACAAATTTTCCGTTTCCTTTATAGAGACAGATTTTTGTGAATTGTTTTCGACAATGTTCTTACTTTCCAAACTGATATTACTGTTTAATTCACCGGATTTGAAATCCATCGTAGATTCAGTAACATTTGAAATCATTCTGTTTTCCAATTGTCTATGCTTTTCGGTGCTATCATTAAAATCCCAATTAGCAGAAAGCAGCTTTTCCGCTTTTTTTTCTTTGTTCTCAAATTGAACAGGGCGCTGTTGTCCATTTCTTCTCCTACCACTACCAGAAATGTTAGTATTATTCGCCTGGAAAAAAAATTTTTTAATCTTTGATTGTCTATATTTTTAAAAAATGTCTTTATAATTACCATAGTTGTTTAATTTTTTAGGTTGTTCAGATGAACGTTTCAACTATTATTACTGAATTTTACTGCTAACCAATAATTTTATAGGCTTTATCAGGTCGATCTATCAGATATTATTAGATGAAAGTTTAAGTAGAAAGATTAGTTTTTCCATATCTTTCATATTTCAGTGTAATTTTTTCAAATATTACTGAAACCAATCAAATTAATATGATTTTTACACTTTTGTTTTCAAATTTACTGAAATAATTTCAACAATAATTACTTACCTTTCTGTTTCTACGATTTTTTCGTCTCTTTTCATCTATTGCATTCTTTTTATGCATCATTTGTTTCATATTTTCTTCAAAAGTTTGCAATTGCTTACGAAATACTTCCAATAATTTCATCGCTTCCCGCCATTCTTGTTTAACCTCCTCAATGCTTGTTCCATTTACATTAGTACTAATTTCCTCTTTTCGTTTTTGTACCGTAGTTTCACTAGTACTAGACTTAACACTGGGAACCACAGTACTAATCAACTGCTGTAACGGAATCAAGGTTTTTGATTTGAATGGTATAACTTCTGCCATTGTTTCATTCCAGTCAGTTTCAGTTGTTATTCTCTTCCCATCTGGTATGTATTCGTTAGTGCTTGATGCAACAATTTCTTGATCAATCTCTCCTGATGCTTTGATCGTTGATCTTGATTTTGTCAATACTACCTTAGTCTCTTCATCAGATGGTGTATAACTATTAGTATCCATGGAGTTGATTGTTAAATCACTGGATATTGTTTCTTTTCTCTTATCATTTTCCGATATATTTATTGATTCTTCCTGTGTTCTATTCATCTCAAAAATTTCTTCTAATCGTTCGTTAACTACTGAAACATCTGTTACAGAAATCATGCTAGTTTGTAATTCATTGCTCCAAGTTGGCAAGTACACTATTGTTGGTGTTGACGTTAGCAAATGATTACGAATGTAAATATCATTGGAATCTGTTTTGTTTGCAATATCAAGGAGTTTTTCTCCGAATTTCATCTTTTTTGGGACGATTTCAGATGTTGAAAGTATTCTTGTTCCATATCGTCTTTCTCGTTCCACTATGCTCGAATTTTCCGTCTTCATTATTTTATGCTTCAAACTGCCTTCTGTTTCGTTTTCAAGCTTTTTTTCTTCGCCTTCACGCGGAACTTGAGTTGCCGTAATCAATACAGGTATTGAAGATGATGCGCTCAGTTTTGAATATGGTGAAATTGACTGACCGAGATCAGCCTGCTGTGCCTGAACTGAAATTGACCTAAGGCCATCTTCTTCCACCATTGCCGTTTCTCCTCTTTCTACCAATTTCTTATATACCAGGTCTTCTTTTTCAAACTTTTCTTCGTCATCTTTTTCTATGATTTGAGTCGTTCTCAGTAACACAAATGGCAATGATGATGTTTCCAAAATCGAATGCTGTGAAATTGTTTGACCAAGATCAGTTTTCTCTGCATGGGCTGAAGACGACGTCAGGTCTTCCTCTTTCGGAGTTACCGGTTCTCCTTCTTTTTTAGCCCTTTCTTCACTTTCTGTTCCGTGTGAAACTTCAGTTGTTTTCAGCAGTACAGATGGTGAAGATGATGCTTCCTGTTTCGAATGCGATGAAATCGATTCCGAAAAATCAGCTTGCTTTTCATGTGGTGAAGATGACGTCAAGCTTTTCTCTTTCGAAATTGTTGTTTCTCCTTTTCCAACTTTTTGTTCAAATTCCGTCCCATGTGAAGCTTCAGTTGTCTTCAGCAGTACAAATAGCGAAGACGATGCTTCCGGTTTCGAATGCAACGAATTCGATTCTACAAGATCAGCTTGCCCTTCATGTGCAGAGGGTAACGTCAGGCCTTCTTCCGGTCCTTCTTTTCCAAACTTTTCTTCATCTTTTTTCTCATCTTGAAATTTCGTTGTTGCCAAAAAGGCTGTTGATGAAATTCCTTGCGACGCTGATCCAACCAGCAGTTCTTCGATTGATGGCGTGATCTGCATTAAATTTTCATTGGTAGGCAGCAGTCTAACCCCTGTGAATAATTCATGATTTTTCTTCGCTGATGGCACCGATGCTCCCAATGCGATTTCTGTGTCATCACGATATCTTCCACCTGAATATGTTACAGCTGACAACGACAAATGATCATCCTCTTTCCAATCCTGTGAAATCGATGTGCTCCGATCAGCTTGCTCTGAATGGGCTGTGGACGATAGGACTTCTTCCGGAATTGCCAATTCCTCTTTTACTTCTAATTTCTTATATTCCATGACTCCTTCTACCTTTTTAACGCTTGTTTCTTGTGAAATTTGAGTTGTTGTCAGCAATACAAGTGGCGATGGTGATGTTTCCACTTTCGAATGCGGTGATGTCGATTCCGCAAGA